TATTATTGTTATTATTATTATTATTATTATTACTATTATTATTATTATTATTATAGTAGTAGTAGTAGTAGTAGTAGTAGTAGTAGTATCATTATCATCATTATTATCATTCTCATTATTATTAGTAGTAGTAGTAATATTATCGTCATAACCATAATTACTACGACAATTATTGTTATCATACCCCCCTCCCCCCGCAGCTCGTGAGGTAGGCCTGGCGCGAGACGGCATGGGGCGCAGCGCAGAGATGGGCTCGTGCGGCAAGTGCGTCCGCTTCTTCATGTTCGCGATGAACTTCGTTATCTGGGTGAGTTGCATGTAATAGCTTGGTTTAATTTCAATTGTATGGTTATTTTTGCAATATTGGTGTTATTATTATATCAGTTGTTTTGCTTGTTTGATTTACGTATTGGTTGTGGTCATTGTGTTTTTTCATGAGGTTGAAGATGTGGGAGAGAGATTGAGACAGGTTGGTGATGCAATAATGTAATTTGGATATGTTGCAATAAGGCAATGGATCACCTACCCTTAAATGATTGAATATGAAATAGAAACAATAAAGTATATCTAAATTGGTAAAGAAAAAGATTTATAAATAAACATTCAAACTGTTAAAAATAGATATAACAATAAGCATTCAAATTGATAGCTACATGGCATTGATAGATACAGAAGCAATTGAACAGATAGATACGATTATTTTGCCATTTTATGTTATCATAAACATCTTTATTCTAAATCACACACCTCACATAGTATATATCATCTCTGTTTTATTATAATGTCAAATCGCATATTCTACAGCTTTATCATAATTTTCGTGAAAATAGAAACAGAAGAACAGAAAGATTCTATATATGTATATATATATATATATATATATATATATATATATATATATATATATATACAAACATTCTGACGTAGACAGAAACAAGAAAAACAGAAATATATAATTATTTTACTTTTTCATAATCGTTTCTCAACGCACCACATACCCACTGACCCCCTCCCTCTCTCTTCTCCCCTCCCCCCTCCCCCAGCTCGCCAGCATAGCAATCCTGGTTCTGGGCAAAAAAAAAAAAAGAAAAAAACTCTCTCTCCCCCTTTCCCCCCCTCCCCCAGCTCGCCAGCATAGCGATCCTGGTGCTGGGCATCTGGACGGTGGTAAACAAAACAAAACAAAAGTAGATAGAAGATAGTTATTTTATAGCATTTTCTCATAACCACAATTTTCTCAAATACCCACTTAACCCCTTCTCTCTCTCCCCTCCCCCCTCCCCCAGCTCGCCAGCATAGCGATAGGGCATCTGGACGGTGGTAAACAAAACAAAACAAAAGTAGATAGAAGATAGTTATTTTATAGCATTTTCTCATAACCACAATTTTCTCAAATACCCGCTTAACCCCTTCTCTCTCTCCCCTCCCCCCTCCCCCAGCTCGCCAGCATAGCGATAGGGCATCTGGACGGTGGTAAACAAAACAAAACAAAAGTAGATAGAAGATAGTTATTTTATAGCATTTTCTCATAACCACAATTTTCTCAAATACCCACTTAACCCCTTCTCTCTCTCCCCCTTTCCCCCCCTCCCCCTATATAATTAGATTACTTTCTCATAATCGTTTCTCAACGCACCACATACCCACTGACCCCCTCCCTTTCTCTCTCCCTTCCCCCCCTCCCCCAGCTCGCCAGCATAGCGATCCTGGTGCTGGGCAAAAAAGAAAAAAGAAAAAAAAGAAAAAAATATATAGTTATTTCATCATTTGATTTTCTCGTAACTACAACATACGCACTGACCCCCCTCTCTCTCTCTCCCCCTTTCCCCCCCCCTCCCCCAGCTCGCCAGCATAGCGATAGGGCATCTGGACGGTGGTAAACAAAACAAAACAAAAGTAGATAGAAGATAGTTATTTTATAGCATTTTCTCATAACCACAATTTTCTCAAATACCCACTTAACCCCTTCTCTCTCTCCCCTCCCCCCTCCCCCAGCTCGCCAGCATAGCGATCCTGGTGCTGGGCATCTGGACGGTGGTGGACCGGCCGTACCTGGAGCAGCTCCTGGGAAATGACCTGTACATCACCGCCGCCTACATCCTCATCGCCACCGGATGCGTCATCTTCTTCGTCTCCTTCCTCGGCTGCTTCGGGGCGCTCAAGGAGATCAAGTGCATGCTGCTGTCGGTAAGGTTTTTTTCCTTTTTTTCTCTCTTTTTTTGGGGGGGGGGAGGGTGGATTTTTGGAATTTTGGATTTTTTTTTTAGGATTGGTTTTGTATTTTTATAATCCGGGGTGATGAAAAATAATAGAAAATCTCATCTTTTATATGTATATACACACAGACACACACACACACACACATTATATATATATATATATATATATATATATATATATATATATATATATACATATATATATGTAGGCTCCCACGCAGTCTACATTTCCTTATCTCATCCTCTGCTTCCCCTTCGCAGTATTTCATCATCGTCCTCCTCCTGTTCATCATCGTCCTCATCGGCGGCATCCTCGGGTACGTGTTCAAGGACAAGGCGTCCGTGAGTGTCAAGAACACCATGACGAGTGCCATGAGGGACTACAAGCCTGACACTGACATCCCCATCACCAAGGCTTGGGACGAGACGCAGCAGGCGGTAAGTAGGATTGGAGGAGGAGAAGGGGGGGAGGGGGATTAGAGGGGGGGGTAGAGATGGGTGATGTTTAGGGGGGGGTAGAGGGGGGAGTGGATATGGGTGATGTTTGGGGGGGGGGGATGTTAGTATGTATGTTTTTTTTATTAGTATATATGGAGGGGGGGAGGTTGTTAGTACATATGGGTATTGTTTGGAGAGGAGGGGGGGAGGGTGTTAGTATGTTTTTTTTTTGGGGTGTTAGTACATTTTTTTAGTATATATGGGGGGGGGGTGTTAGTATATATGGGATTTTTTTCTTTTTTTTTGGGGGGGGGGAGGGTGTTGCTGTATGCTGTATATATATATATATATATATGTAGGCTCCCACGCTGTCTACATTTCCTTATCTCATCCTCTGCTTCCCCTTCGCAGTATTTCATCATCGTCCTCCTCCTGTTCATCATCGTCCTCATCGGCGGCATCCTCGGGTACGTGTTCAAGGACAAGGCGTCCGTGAGCGTCAAGAACACCATGACGAGTGCCATGAGGGACTACAAGCCTGACACTGACATCCCCATCACCAAGGCTTGGGACGAGACACAGCAGGCGGTAAGTAGGATTGGAAGAGGAGAAGGGGGGGAGGGGGGGTAGTATATATGGGCGATGTTTGGGTGGGGGGGAGATGTTAGTATGTTTGGGGGGGGGGGGTGTTAGTATATGCTTTTTTTACTAGTATATATGGGGGGGGGGTTGTTAGTATATATGAGCGATGTTTGGGAAGGGGGGTTGTTAGTATTTATGGGCATTTTTTTTAGGGGGGAGGGGTGTTGATAGTATGCTGGGGGTGTTAGTATGTTGGGGGGTGTTAGTATATATATTTTTATAATTAATATATGGGCATTGTTTAGCTTATAAAGGGGTGTTAGTATATATATATAAGCATTGTTTGTAATCGTATTTAGTTTATATATGCATTCTTGGGGGGGGGGTGTATAGAGGTAGGACGTAAGTAAAAAGTGTTTGCAGGATTGATAATAGATAGTAAGTAGAAAGAAGGATATTATTTGGAGAGCTGTTAGTAATATTAGTGTTAGTAGGCGTCAGAGGGTTTGTTAGTATATACACAGTTAGTAGTAGTAATGTAGTGTTTGTAGACAGTGATTTTTTTCTATATACATGCATAGTATAGGGTATTTAAGTGGTATAAAGTTTTAAGTAGGTTGATATGTATGTTATAAGTCTAGGCAGTGGACTAATAGAGTATACTTTATTATTATCATATATAGTGTGTGTAATTTTTTTAGTATTATTGTTATAAGTGTTCTTGTTGTCAGTACTGTTATTGTTATTATCATTATCAATATTATCATTTTTATTTGTAATTATTATTATTGATATGAACTTCCAATTATTTTTTATCATCGGAGGATACATCTCTGAACTTTACTTTTTTCTTTAGATAGAGAGAGACATATATAGATATATGTGCTTCTCATTAAATTTTGTATAAATAGATGTAAATGTAGGTATATTTGTGTGCCTTAAGATATTAAATATTCACGTATTGCATGGAATATCTTTCTGAACCACACATTCCCTCCGCACAGATGAAGTGCTGTGGCATCACGGTGCAGAGTGACTGGCTGAAATACAACAGGAATTTCATACAATCCGGCAACAAGGTTCCGAAGTCTTGCTGCAAGAACGACCCCAACACTGGAAAGGTGCGTTGATTTTTTCTTTTCTTTTCTTTTTCTCGTTTTCAAAGACTGAGAGAGATCTATTTAGCTGGTATTTGATATTCTAAGTTCCTGCTTTGGATAATTTCTTTTTATTATGATGCCATATCTTATATTCCTTAGAAACATACTAACATATTCATCTAAAGATATTAGTGTCTTATTTGTAGGATTTCCCTTAATAATCGTCTTTATACTATATCAAAATCCCATAGAATACAACATATAATCCCATATAGGTATAATGAAAAACCTAAATATTTTGTAGTGCATATACATTAAAACCACATTTAATGTATATGCATGTAATAAATAAATCAAGAGATCATAATAAAGACAACATAAGTTTAGAATATAAACATATATATCCAACACTTTGATAAAATCCTGTCATCATTGCATTAGTTTCCCACCTGCCCTTTCCTTTTACTCAAAAGCATTGCCCTCTCAACAGGTTCTGGATTGTCAAGTCAGTCCAACAGAAGACAATTCGTACACAGAAGGCTGCTACAAGAAGGCCAGAGATTTCGTCCAGGGTCAAGCAGTTATTATAGGGGGCGTGGGCATAGCCGTCGCCTTTATAATGGTTCGTATTTTCTTTAAATTTCTGTTAGTGACTTGAGGATGTGTGTGTGTGTGTGTGTGTGTGTGTGTGTGTGTGTGTGTGTGTGTGTGTGTGTGTGTGTGTGTGTGTGTGTGTGTGTGTGTGGATGTGCGTGTCTGTTGTGCATATAATCCTATGTTACTGTAAGTTGCTGTTTGAAAGTAAAGAAATATGGTTTTAGATAAGATATGAAGTGGATTCACAGCAAATACAATGTGTGTGCAGGTTCACATATGCACACATATTTTTCACATCTTCATTTCCATGTTTTAATTTGTCTTTCCTTCCTTCCAGCTGATTGGCCTCATCTTATCCATCATCCTCTTCAAGCTAATCAACTAAATGACATGAGATACTGTATTTCAAAACTTGTCAGGGGTAAAAATATACTGTAAGACTTTTTGTCAACTGCATTATCTTCTTTTTTTCTTTTCTTTTTTTTTTAATAAAATCCTTGTAGTTTGATGCATGATTCTTATAGATGGAAAACAATTCATATAAGATTCCTTGTCTGATTTTATGCAGTTCATGAAATGTATTTACAGTACGAGCTTTAGCTAGACTGTGGTTTGCATAGGTTTAGCTTATGTGGTTCTTGTCAAGAGAAAAAGTGTATGTGTTTTATTTATATCTATCTTAGTAATTTTTATATTCATTTTGAATATAGTTTTAGAATGTGGGTGATAAACTATGGCACAGACGTGTCATTGGATGTGATAAAAGATTAGTTGTACAGTTGTGGCAGTGGTTCTCAAAGGGGAGATTCGTCCAGCGTCTCTCCGAGCCACGACACTGTGCTGCTGTTACGCTAACTTGGCCCTGTTGTCGTGCTCCCCGTCTACAAACAGACTTGTAGATTGTATTTTCTGAATTACCTTCATTTAGCAAGGGAAAAGCCCATTCAGAACAGAAATGAAAGTAAACCCCTAAAAATGTACCTAGCTCATAATTTCTCAAGAGTAATGAACCTGCCTTTAGGATTCATATAGAGATTTTATCCCTCCCCTGAAATTATTTTTTCATAAAAGAGTATCGGTAAAAAAAAATAAATAAATATAAAGACTATAGACAAAAGATAAAATTGAATACGACACACCAAGTTAGCACTGAAGCAGTACGGTTTAAACGATAGCTTTTGTGTAGTCCTACCTTTGAGTATCTAGTCCAGAACTCTGTGCTTGAGTAAATGTTGTAAGTAAGCAGTTATGACTTACTCCTAATATTTGCATTTGTCGTCATGATTGTGTTCGTTTTCTTTCAAAGTGCCTTGTGTTATTTATTATGAACAAAACACTCTGAAAATTGTTTGGAATTAAAATTCTCTCCTGGAATGTTCATTTAAGACAAAAATACATTTAATGTATTTGTAAAACAATAGAAGTACATTTTTGTGTTTATGATTGATTGGAGTATGTTATGATTAGACATAATTCAGTATTAATAGCTTTCAGTGTACATTAATTATTTTTATGTATTATTTCTTAAGTAAAGGCTAAAAAATATGTAAGTATAAAAATGAGAATATAAAGAAGGAAATTCTTTTGTATATTTTCTGCACCAAACATTTCCTAGTATTACGGACTGCTGTATTAGACATAAATGGAATATATTGTTTTATTGTCTCTATACTCTCACACTCTTACTAAACATTCTCTCTCTCTCTCTCTCTCTCTCTCTCTCTCTCTCTCTCTCTCTCTCTCTCTCTCTCTCTCTCTCTCTCTCTCTCTCTCTCTCTCTCTCTCTCTCTCTCTCTGTCTCTCTCTCTTTCATGACTGAAGATAAAATACTTTATTCCACTGGTATTATGTTTCTGGGAAATGTTCAAGTGAGCAAAATGAAGTGTTATTGCCTGATCAAGCCATTTCTGTAAATATATTAACTGACCAAATATACTCTACCCCTTTCTAATTCTGTGGTTCAAAAAAAAAAAAAAAGTATGTTGATGTGCCTGTAACTTTTCCGAGGACATTCTGATCCTGCAACAGATCTCAGTATCTCAGTTAGGCGGGCATTGTGAAATTCCGATTCAAACCCCTTCTTGACTGGATTGTCGCGCAAGAGAATCACCCCATTTTCACGCAGATATTCACGCTGGTTTAATTCTCATGTGGATCGTAACTGACTTTCTTGATTAGTGTATATAATTAGGCAAAATTTGTTTCCCCTTTCTTTCTCATTATTACTTTTTTATTATTATTATTATTTTGTAGAAGAATCTACAGTTTGGTGCAATTTTATAGCTTAAGATGCTAGCAGGATTAATTACTGCTCAGCTTGGCCAGAATCTTTATATCATAGGCACAGTACTAATATTTTTAACATTGAAAGGTTTATATACAGGTGTTGCCGTGACCAAGAGAAGGACTCTTTAACATGTTGATTACATTGTCATTTGATTGATTAGAAGAGGTTGACATTTCTTCTCTTTTTTATGGATTTCTTGTGTAATGAAGATTTTCTTTATTCTGATGACTGTTTGTAGACAGCGAAAAATAAAAAGGATGTCTTTATATGTGTCATA